TATATATATATATATTAATCCAATACACAATTATATCAATAAAAATTACTTTTGACTAGTGTACAAACTTTTGCAGTAACCTATATGGAGAAAGAAAGAAGGAAATCATTGAATTGCTTTGCCCATCAATATAAAGACTTCTTCAAATTTTGGGAAGATCAATTGTCATGAATTTTTTATTTTTTATTCTTTTTTATGTTACATGTACATATTATAAAGGCCTATTATAAAGAGAGTATAGTTTAGTAATTAACAATGTATTTTGTTTTCATGTTTTAACCAAAACACTTTTATCTCTAAATTTATATTACCCACAGTCTATTATATATAAAAAAAAAAAACCAACATACTAACTATTTTAAAACCTTAATTTTTTTTATCATCATTTTTCTTAAAATTCCTCAAAAATTACCATATAGAGACAAATAATCTCTCTTTTCCATGCTTAGTTACTTACAACAAGAATAGATTATTCCACTAATTTAATTTTCACATTGAATTTGCATCTGAAACATGCAGAGTGCAGTCGGAGTTGGACGAAGTTGACCTCAAACTTCAACAACGGCCACAAGCGAGTAAAAAGGTGGCGCTGGACTCTGAAGGACCAAACACACAGAGAGAGCGTGCCCCACGCGCCTTCGGGCGCGCGTGGCGGCATGACCCCGCCCTCCAAAAGTTCCTCTCTTTCCGCGAAACAGCACGTGTCAACGCGTCACGCTGAGCTGGTTCCACGCGCCACGTGGCACTCTCCTAACGGTCGAAGGCACAGATCCCATCCCAGCCGTCAGAAGCATCATCCAACAACACATATACTACTTGCAGGTTCGCACTGTCCATTCCCTCTCTCTCTCTCTCTCTCACACACACACACCCAAATGGAACTCTAGAGAGAGAAACTAAGGGTTGGTTTGGTTCAGTTGCTATATCGCACAGGTAATAATCGTTAATCTCCTTCCCAATTTCGCTATCGATTCTGCTCTCACTTTGTAACGTGATTTTTCAGCTTGCTTTTGGTTTTTTCGGGAACTGGTTGTTTGTGTGTTTGTTTGTTTGTTAGTTATGCTGGTGCGTGCGTAACTGAAAGGAGGACTTGTTTGTTGTTGTTATTATTTGTGGTTTGCGGAGCATTTTATGGTGCGGTTTTTGTGACTTGGTGTGTGGCAATTGCGATTTGCTTGATTTTGATTTTTGTTCGGATGATTTTCGGGGTTGACTTCCGATTTGGCGCGTCAATTCATGAGTTTCGTGTGTGTGTGTGTGTGTGTTTTGGGGCATGGGGTTTTGGGTTTTGACTTTTCAGATTTTTTGCGTTTTGGAGGACGTGGATTGTGTTGAACCTTGAACGTGTAATTCTGGTTGTCTTCTTGGTGATTATTATCGTTAGAAAATCACTAGGAGTGTCGAGCTCTAGAAAGCGGTCGAAGAGTGAGATTTTTTTGTTTGTTTGTTTGGTTTTGGTTTGTAAAAGTGATTTTCTAATCTGGTTTTAAAAACAGCAAGAGATGTTTTTTTCTTCTTCTTAATTTTAGTTTTTCTTTTGTGTTGTAATTTGATTAGAACCTAAAAGGAGGATGGGGAAAAAAATTGGAGTTCGTTTAGATGACGGACTCAAGGATGCAGCCTTGGAATTTGCGAATATATATGAGAGACCAATTAATTTAAACTTGAATTTTATTTTGCCTAAGATTTTTTTTTTTTTTTTTTTTTTCTCGATAATGTTATGGTTCTGACTGTGCATCCTTTAGTCAAGTTGTGTTTGAAGATGTTAATCTATACGGCTGCTGCTTTGTTTTTTCCTTTAATTGTTTTTGATCATGGGAATCAAACACGGGTATCAAGAGCGTTTACTACAGCTGTGCACTTTGCTTAACCAATTAAGCTAGAAAATTAATTGTTTTTCAAAACAATTGATTTTTATTTTTTATTTTTTATGAAACTGATTATTTTTGGTTATATGCACTGCTACAACGTTTTTTTCTTCCCTCCATTTTTGCTTCACGAAATGAGAGAGATTTCCACTCTCTCCTCAATTTCTTCTCCTTCCTCTTAATCTTCCCCACTATTTCTTTACCATACAAGCCATTAGGCTTCATTGCTTCTTGGTGAAATAATTTTTATGTCACTCTATGGTTCCAAACAAGCTGTTAGGCTTCTTTGCTTCTTGAAAAATCATTTTTTATGTGCACTCGATGTTTTGGTAGTCTTCAGTATTTGAGTATTTTGATGTAATTAATTGGCAAGGAGTGCTAATATTTTTGAAAATTTTGCAGTTTTCGTGCTTTGGTTTTAAGTTTGTCTCTTTTAGGCCTCTATTATACATCTAATATTTTATAAAATTGTTATACTTATGTATTACTTTGTAATCACTCTTTTCTTGATGATATTGTTTTCTTTTATATTACAAGAAAAGAAGACTTGGGCTTTTAGTTTCCAATTTGCTAATGCATGCTTCTTAATTCTGATTTTTAAAAATGTTGCTTGCTACTTGTATTACTGTTTTTTTCCCCTTTATTCAAAAAAATTTGATGTATACTTTTACCTCTACCTATTTTTTAATTGGTAATTTGGGTTTCTGTTCTCTTCTTGTGCAACAGGGTCTGCTGCTTTGACTGTCTAAAAGGACCTTGGTTCCCCACAGATGTGCCCAGAGCAAGATTGTTGCACCTATTGTAAGCACAAATCAAATGCCATCCCTAAAAATGAAGAGCAAAGTAAGCGTGAGCTGTTTAACAGAAAGACAGGATCTTCATGTGTGTCCGAAATCAAAAATAATTTCCAAAAACCCATGTTCTAAAATCATGATTTCTACTCAAAAGGCTGAAATAGACACTAATGTTCAAAATTGCCTAGATGGTAAGTGGAAGTTTTCAATCTGTCTGAGATTTCTATCTTAGTATCTATCTAAATTCCTTTTTATTTTTCTATTCAGTGTTTTTATCAATTTTTTGTGCTTTTTGATTCACTTCTTGTTCTTTTTCATCTTATTTTTGCTATTATTTTCTTAACACATTAAGCTCTGCCACAATTATAAACTTTTATGTGTGGGCAACTTGCAAAATCACATTAGCTTATGATATTGAGATTTTCTTTATTATGGAAAATTGGTGACTGTTTTTGTTCATAATTTGCAAAAACTAGCCAGTTACTGAACAGTTCTCGATGATCTACCTCGCTAATAGTTATCTTATCTTCATTTATTTATTTATCTTTTTAATTAAGAAAAGGAGTTATATGTGATATATAAAACTTTTGGTATTCTACTAGGAAAGATAAATTTAAGAACATCTCATTATGTTTTCCTTAGGGATGTGGATCCTTTCATGTTAGTTTTTCAAATGACCATGTCATGTCAAAAAAGAGAAAGGCATTATAAGGCCCTCCTGCACTGGGTGCCACACCCCTACGCAGGGTCTCAGAAATTGTCTTATGTTATGTCAGTCTCTTTCCACATGGTAGAGTCATGTGGAAAACTTGAAACTCAGGCGAGAAGATATAAATCCTTTCTGTAAATGACAGATAAAAAATAAGGAAGATGTGATGAAAACAAGCTGACTGAAAAGTGTAGCTACTTTACTACCATTAGGGTGGTCCTTCCTTAGATAAAATGGCTTACCAGTCTTTGCCTTGGTATTGTGAGTTGAGGCTTCTGAGCCACTTAGATGAGGAGGTGAGAACGAACTTGCTTATGTGATATGGCTATGGATTTATGATCTGATATGAAGCAGTTAAAATTTGATTCCTGATAAGCATTTTAAGTAACTCTGAACATATAGCCTTTATGTTTCTTCATAGTCATAATTTGTTCTTTATGTAAGGTATTGGAATCTTTTGGATCAGAGTTTTCCAAAGTGCAGTTGCGCTGGCATCATTAATGTACAGATATTAAATCATTATTAAGGGTTTTTATTTTAAAGTTTCTTAATGTTAGTTATGGAATAGATGAAATTGTTTTTGTTAGATTCATTTGGTATAAAAGAACTAATTTTTAATCTTTTGACTGAGTTGACTTGGCCAACTATAGAATTGTGTATCTATTTCTTGCTGTTTTTCTGGATATAATCTATTTCTGTGCTGTAATATTAGGTATTAATTTCTGTATACATACAATTCTCCTTATTTTATTGCTTTGTGTTTAAATTTATGCTGAAATTATTTCAATTCCTCACATTTGATAGTTCTTACTATTTGTCTATAGTTGCCTCAAGGACACAACCCAAAGACGTTGCATGTGATCAATCTATTGACAACAAAGAATTTCTGGATAAAGAAAACTCTGAATCGGACCACCAATTTTCTGTTTGTTCCTCTGTCCTGGGAAAAATGGTAGAGTTTGATTGTATTGGCTTCAGACAATCTTTAATTCTTAATTTATTGGAAGCTTACTTTTTGTTTAATTTACTAATAACTTGGTGTAAATCTCTATAATGGTAAAGACAAATGCTACAAATAGAAGGTGGATTGTTTGATAACCCTTTATAAATATTTTCCTATAAAAATCTAGTTTGCTAGGCTGTCTTTCTAAAAGTGTCCCATGACCTTCTCTTGCAATATTGGGTTGAATTTCTTCTTTTTTTATTTTTGTAATAATGTTAGTTGGTTATGAACCTATTGTCTTTCAAAACTTTACAAACATAAATTGAGAACTCAATAATCAAAACTGAACACTTTATTGGCCTTGTAAATTTTGTGGGATAATTTAAAACTAAAAGGATTGATGATGTTATTTATGCAACATTTTCTTCAGTGCTGTTTTCAGGGGTGATGGAGCTTGTGAGCTGGAATACTCTTTTTCCTCCCTCTTTCTCTTTCTCTATGATTATTTTATTTTTCCTTCTCAGACTTTTGTCACACTCCAAAAAAATTCTACTTCTAGTTGTCATGTACTTGATAAGATGTGATTAAGTTTCTTTATGATTTTGTATTTATTAGAGTATATTAACAGTTAGTTTTTGGAAGTATGTGTCATTATTTTAAAGCTTTAAAAGAAATATAAATAGGTTGGGAATTAAGAAGTCCTCCCACCCACTCCCTTTTGACATAGAAATACTCTTTCTAAGGGGCTGATCTAGATTTTCCATTGTAAGACCTTAGGCTTGCTTCTTTCATTTCCCAATAATATTCATATTTTGATGTCCCACCAAGTAAGAAGTGTTTTTTATAGGTGGAATCTGATTGTCTTCATCTTAATTTATTAATGGCAGAGTTTTTTCTTTTGGTACTAGTTTCCAGATATGCTTAGTTTGTTTGAAGTTTGATTTTAAACTAGATTAATACTTAATGTTGTTTGTTAAATCTTATTGTATCTTTTAAATTATAGATAAAGTAAAAAAATGAGAAACAATTAGAGGAATATATTAAAGGTTTAATAAATTAGTATGTCCCTGAACTTTTTGAGAATTTTTATTAGATCCTAAATTGAATAAAATTATACTTGAATCCTTAATCTTCAACATTTTTTGTAATTGGGTCCTTAGAGTTAGTAAAATCGCTACAAATCGTTATTTTTGTTTTGAAGGATTAAATTACAAAAAATTGTAAAATATCAAGGACCCAATTACATTTTTTTAGTTTAGACCTAATTAAATTTTTTGTGAAGTTTAGGGACATACTGATGTATTAAACCTAAATTAAAAATATACTCGGGTTATTTCAAAACCAACTTTATGTTGGATTTGTTTTAAACCAGTTTTGACCTGAAAAATTCATTAAATTAGAATGAGTATATCAAATTGTAAGAAATACTAAAGACCTCTATTATTTTAGAGATCATTGCCTTTGCACTTGATTATCTGTCTTTCAAAGGTTTGCAAACACCCCATAGTCAACTTAATTTGGGGTATGTGTACTGATAACTGTACTGATACATCTGTGTTATATATTATTCTCCCCTAGATAAAAGAAAATTTTCCATTTCCCAACTAAAAAGATATTTCTAGAAGCTTTACTTTTGCTTATAGTGATTAGTGACAACATACAGGAACTAATTCTAGAAGCTCTCAGTGTAACATAGCTTTCCTTTTGAAAAGTTATAACATATTAGAACACATTGAGAGGAGAATAAAGGATCATTAATAGGGGTTGTGATGCTTCAATTCAATTTTTGGAAGCTAAATATTTTCCTTGGCATTTTTAAAATAATTATAGATTTTTATGCTGTTGTTGATAACTTGTCAACCATTACTCTATACTGCATCCATGAAGTTTGAACTTTTCTATAATGCACGACTGACAAATATTTCTCTTTTTCTTTAGGAACTAACCAACCCCTGTACAGCAAACTTAGAAACAATTTTTTCTCCTGCTTTTGAGCCCATTGAAGTCCATTCACAACATTATACTGAAAAAGATGCAGGTATGACAATTCTGTTATGTTAACATAGTGAGAGTAGTGACTTATTTTGAGAATGAAACAAACATTGACTGTCGGATCATGCATGTATGAGCAAGATTAGAGCATGAAAAGTATGAGCAAGATTAGAGCATGAAAAGTATGCTTTAAAAAACATTCCATGCGTAGCAAAAAATACATGATTGTGGCAAGGGAAATTTAGTCAAATATAGACCATTTTATCAAATTTTAAATAGTCAAGATTAACAAGTAAATTCACACAACTTTTTAAGTGGTCATGTGACCACTAACTAAATTTTAATCTTGATTGTCTGTATTTGGTTTATATGGATTAGATTTATAGTTCTCACATTCTTATATTATGAATTGCTCTCATTGTGTGTTTGCGTGTGTGTGCGTGGGTGTGGGTGTGTGTGTGGATCAAGTTTGGTTAGACTTATTCCACATAATAATTTATGTTCTACATCAAATTTTAACGGTTCAATAATTAAATTAAAAGTTCTTAATGCATAGATCAAGTCTGTAAAGTTTTAAAAAATTTGCAAAACTATTTAATACTCCATTTCATTAATTCAAATTGACGGATAATCATGAAACATATTATATGTTGATTTGATTTAATGAAATGGAGTATCAAATAGTTTTTAAATTTTTTTAAAATTAACTGACTTGACCAAATATTAAGAACATTTAATTCAATGGTTGAATTATTAAAATTTGATTTACAACATGAGTTATTAAAGGGAGTAAGTCTAGGTAGACTTACTCTTAGAGTAAATGAATCCCCCCTCAATATACATAGATATATATGTGTGTGTGCGTGCGCACGGTGGTGGGAACCTTTAATCTTCGTCCTCAGTTTCTTTCATCATTATAGAATGTCCTAGTCTTCTACACTGTTGGTTGGGTCATTTGAGTCTTAAAAAAGTTAAAGAAAATAGTTCATGCCATACAATTAGACATAGGGCTTCAGAAGGTTTTGATTTCAAGAATTGAAGATAGGAATTAGCGGTGTTTGTTGGTCATAGGTTTACATCTCCATTAAATCATTGTAAGTTTGTAACAAAAAAATAAAGAGGCATGATAGTCATCACATGCTGGTTAGGGTCCTCTATGTTGGTTACATTCCTTAAAATTAGGATGTGTTAAAACATAGGGACAGATAATTCTAAAGTTTAGTAATAAATCAGTTATTTGTTATTACAGAACATAACTGGCAGCCAAAAAACTGGCTCAAGTTAAAGAAAGCTCACAAAACCATAGTCTGTACATTGACCTGACTAAAAGATGAATTTGAGACCCTAATAAAAAAGTAGTAAAATACCCCTATGATTGAACATATAATGTTTTGGCTTAAAATTTCTAAACTGTAAATTAATGAGATTTAATGCCCAGTGCCCAGCCCAATTTACCTAGTGGACCAAATTACATGGGTGTTTGGTTTTCAAGCTTATGTCTTCTACATTGAACTACGGGCATCACAATGTATGGCTACTTCATGAATCATGACTATTTGATTGTTATTATTTATATGCTAACTACTTTGCCTCTATTGTAGGGAGCATTGGTGATACAAACATGGAAGGAGTGGGAGCTGATGAGGGAAGAAGCATATGTGGTTATGAAACTTGTGATGTTTCAGACTTCTACATTTCTGACATGATCATTACAAGCTTACCCTTTGGTGGAAATTCCTTTGATGATGATATCAGCGAAACCAACTGCCTATCTGATTATGGATCTGCTGAGCCATCCGTGTTTACTGCATCTGAACAGTACATGATCCTGCCTGCTCTTGAAGAGGATATTAAAGTTGGAAGTACTTCTGATATCATATCATACGAAGAAGCCGTGATAGTTCGAGAAAGTGCTAGTTTGTATTCAGCAATGGGTCAGATAAGATCCTGCAACCAGGAGTCTGATGTTAAAAGTGACTTGGATAAGTCAGAGTGCTTTGACCCGCAGTCATTTATCAAGAATTTACCAGAACTATCAGAAATAGAAGTAAATGGGCAGCCGACTCTAGTTCCTAAGCAATCTCCAAGAAGAAAGTCAATAACTCTAGTGCTTGATTTAGATGGTAAGAAACTAATTTAGCATGTCTTCCACTGAATATTGACAATCAATAGTTATTTTATTACATTATGATTATAAGTTGCTTTGGATTCATTATACCCTATTTTAATTCTTTAGTTATTACTTTTTCTTATACGGTTATTGACCTTTCGTCATGAAAATGTCTCACTTTACTTTTCATTTAAGAATATTTTGAATGATATGTCTTTGATTTTTTGATGTCTTGGCTAAACAATGATATTCATGCAACTATTTTGCTGCCCACGGCATGGTAAAGCTAAATATTGCCACCTAAATTTTGTCAACTATAAAGTTAGCAAGGATTGTGCCTAGGAAAATAATTCATAAATACCAGATGCATAGCTAAACATGGATATACGATATGCATTCATTGGCAAGGAGCAAATATTCAGAGGATGGTATTGCTTGGTACCATGCTAAAATCTTAGTCATAGGGTTTAGGTAAGAAGGAAAGAGAATAGAGACTTGGAATAGTATAATCTAAAATTGATATTGTGTGTTATGATATGTTGTAAAATACAAAACACTAACAGCTCAAAATAATATGTTCTATGTATGATTTATATGGTGTGATGCAAAATACTGAATAGTTGCACCTATTTGTTACAATAATTAGCTTTGGTACTAGTGTGTATTGCTGGTAAAAGCCCAAGCCTACTTTTATGGTAAGACTCCTAACCCTAATTGAATAAGGAAAATTAGGAAAGAAGATTAATTGACTACATAAAATATTTATTGAAATTGTAAGGTTTTGGGTATAGAGAGAGAGGAGAAAGAGTTAAAAGAGGTTGAATACACTAAAATTGATATTGACTTGATATGATGTGATGTGTTGCAATATAATAATAAACACAAAGTATTAACCGTTATTTATAGTTGTTGGCAATTGATTTGATGCTGAGTCGGCAATCTTTAATTGGGAGATTCAATCACCTTTACGGCAGACTGCGTTGAATTTCTTTCATTTTGTTCTCTTAATATCTTGCAAAATTAGTTCCTTACCTTCTGTGATTTTGAAAGATAGGATATTATTTTTTTTTCCTTCTCAGCTCTTAAATTGTTCTACAAATCTGTTCCATTTTTAGGATAGGATCTGTTCTTTCTTTCCTTTCTTAGGATTCTGATTGATGTACATATTTCTCTATTTAAAACTTTCCCTGTATTCTATCTGATTCAGTGGAATGAAATATACCATTTTACAAAATAGTAATACTAGACATAATCCAGCCAACTAAGGAAACAAATCATGAGAGAATATTGGTTTCCCACATTGACTAGTGATATGGCCTTAATAGAGTATATATAAGTGGAGGTGGTTCTCACCTTTCAAACCAATTTTGTAAGGTTGAGTTAGACCCATTACTTACATTTTTAAGATGGTATCGAAGTCTATTTCAGCAATTGTTGTTGGGATTTTTGTGCCATCCGCTAGTGGACCACTCGTAGATATTCAGTCCCTCAAACTTTACATTTGAGATGTCCAATCCTTGGCATAAGAGAGAGGGTGTTTTGGAGTTTCCGCATCAGCTGGTAGTATGACCTTAATAGAGTATATAAGTGGTAGTAATTCTCATCTTACAAATTGGTTTTATACGGTTAAGTTAGGCACAAACCCAAATTCTTAATAGATAATAAGGATATATCGGAACTATTCTTTAGAGATAAGTTAAGATGCTCCAAATTCTAAGATATAAGCAAGATTCTTAAGATATCATATTTAAGTTTAGGGGAACCTTCCAAAGTGCTGCAGGCTTGATGATTGCCTGAGTTTTCTTTTTAACTAATTTTTCAAAGGTAGCAAGCTTGATTTCTCCATGTGGCATATAGAAGGAAATTGTATTGATATACAAAGGAAATTGTGCATGCTGAAGACCTACAATGATTTCCTACGTCCTGAAACTTTATTGCCATACTGTATTTTTGAAAGTTTAAACTAAAGGAGAACCTCCTTTGTTCTGAAGTGCTGTAGGCTGGATGATTGCTTCAGTTTCCTTTTCAACTAACTTTCTGAAGTTAGCAAGCTTGATTGCCCAATATAGTATATGGAAGTGTTCCAGCGTATTCATTAAAATCTCACTTGGCTTGACCAACTTCTTTAACCATCTCTTCTGGATGATATTTCATTGTTCCATTCATATAAATTTGATATATCATTTTTCTGAATGCTTTTGAAATATTTACAGTTGAAACTCCTATTTATCTGTCATGTTTTCTTTATGCAGAGACACTTGTTCATTCTACACTGGAACACTGTGATGATGCGGATTTCACTTTTACTGTTTTCTTTAATATGAAAGAGTACACAGTATATGTAAAGCAGAGGCCTTATCTCCACACATTCTTGGAGAGAGTATCAGAGATGTTTGAAGTAGTTATTTTCACTGCCAGCCAAAGCATATATGCAAAGCAACTACTTGATATATTGGATCCTGATGGAAGATTTATTTCTCGGCGCATGTATCGAGAATCATGTCTTTTTTCAGATGGAAATTACACAAAAGATCTTACTATATTAGGTGTTGATCTTGCAAAAGTTGCAATAATTGATAATTCACCTCAGGTATATAATCTGTCGCTCTCTATTGTTGATTCAAGTATTTCTTTTAGTTCCCTCTTTTTAAGTAGTTTTCATTTTCTGTTAAGTATTGAATTCTCACCACAATGTTATTTTGAATGTGAGTAATTAAAAATGTTTTTCTTTTCCAATTGCTATATATATTGGAAGATTTCCCAAAAGGAACATATGAAACTAGGTATATTAGAAGTTTTATAACAGTTATCTTGGGGAATCCTGCAGCAAGCAATAGAAGAGCACTAGGCTCTAACTTTTGCCAAGACAATACAATGGAAGAAACTTGAGATTCCACCTTGTGTGTTTGGATGAAAGGTAAAGAGAGGGAAAGGAAGAAAAATTGACTCGTTGTTTGGATGTTTTGAAATAAGGGCAAGGGAGGAGGAAGTGTTCCTTCTTTCTGCCTCAAAATTGAGTTGGGGTTAAGGCTTTATTTAAAAGAGAAAAATAGCCCTTATTCCCTCCTCCGCTTGCTTAAACATCCAAACAAGAGGAAATAACTTTCTTCCAACCCCTTCTCTCTCCTTTCCCACTTAAAAATATCTAAAGGCCACTCTCTGCTCGTGGATGGGGGAGGGGGAGAAAATATATTCTTCATTGAATATTCTTTGATGCTTAATCATTTCACTCTTATAATAAATTTCAGGTATTCCGGTTGCAAGTGAATAATGGTATTCCTATAAAGAGTTGGTTTGATGATCCCTTAGATTGTGCACTGATGTCATTACTTCCCTTTCTAGAGACCTTGGCTGATGCTGATGATGTCCGTCCTATCATTGCAAAGAGATATGGTAACAAAGAATAAGGTTTCTCATTAGACCAAATTTAGCAGATCTTCTCCTTTCTTCTAGGATTAAGAAAAATTTGGCCTCTAATTAGATGCTAAAGTCTCCTTTCCATTCGAGTTTGAGATGAATTAACCTATATATACAATAAACTATTTGGTTATCTTATTGTTGAGTCCAGAATTGGTTCCCTTTTCTTCTCAGTTGACAAATGTGGAGTTTTCTCTCGAAAGGTAGTTGTAGCAACCATCTCTTTGTCTTCTCTTCCTCTTGTTAGTTCTTGTACAGTTAAAGTTGGAATATTCCATGGGGGTGTACATGAAATTTATCATATTAAGGAATATAGTTCTAAAAGTTAAATATTTAATTTGTGTTCCATATGAAAGGGCAATCCGTTGTCATGTGTGCTGATTGATGGAAATGGAACCTGTTATTTAGTTAAGTTTTACCTGCCCTTTGTTATTATTAATTAATCTTTTTCTTGTCATATACTCTATTAAGATTATGCTTCAAGTTTTATTTTATGGATCATTGATGCAATGAGTAATGTGTTGTCAAACGAGACAAATTTAGTAATATATCCTAAGAAATATTGAACTAATTGTTCAAAAACAGTAAAACTACTAGGAAAAAAATTTGAGAAGGTACAACAAATTGAAAAGGGACTATATTTAGAGGTGAAATTATAACAATCAAGTTAACAATTCTATGGATAAGACTTATTTAGGCATTAGTCTTTCAAACAATAAGTATCATCCATAGCCAACAAATTTGAAAATATATTTAAACAATGCTGAGAAATATATGATCATAGATATGAAACATCAACATGTTTATGAGAATAATTCAATAATATAGTTTTGAGGATAATCATGATGACAATCTTGTTTCATTTAAGGTTTTAATTGCATTGTAAAAGATACAAGGTGTCAAGTTAATTCCATTCACTGTCTAAACATATCCAAGAACACATTTTCTTTAGAGCTCTTAATAAGTTAAGCAGCTTAATTTTTAAAGGAAAAGAAAAACAAGAAGGCTTTTTAAAGAAGCTAGGTGAAGGAGTTTCTTAAAACAAGTTGTCGTCTCTCTCTCTCTCTCTCTCTCCCATTCTAGCTCTCTCTAGTCTCTACCTGTCCTCTCCTCTTTTTCTCTCTCTCTCTCTCTCTCCCACGCATCTCTCTTCCCACTCTCTTTGTCTTCCAGCTCTCTCTCTCTCTCTTCTCTCTCTGCCTGTTCTCTCCCTGCACTCTCTCAGGTCATCTCTTTTAAGCTAAAAGAAATTGGAAATGGCAAAACAACTACTTTGCTTTTAAAGTTCTTAAGTAGTTATTAAGATCTTTTCCTTTTTTAACATTGAAGACTATAACATGTATGAACGAGACTGACATTTTTCTATAACTGGCACATATGGCTCCTCAGGAAGATAAAGGCCATTGCCTTCTCTAGCACACCCAAATTTCCTTACTGATTCCTTGTTCTAGAATACACAATAATTATTATGAAAAATAACAATGGGAGATATGAAAAATAAGCCTGATTCCTTGTACTAGGGCCTTTTGGCATTGAGAAGTGCAGGCCCTTGAAGTTCTATAGTATGCATGTTCTATTCTAAGAATTGGGATGTTCTTCCCTATTATTTCTAGTATAGAACAATATTTTGAGGCCTTTGGAGTGCTACAAGCGAAGACATCATGGGTTGCAACGGCTCTGAGAGGTGCTTCTCTCAATTGGTAGCTTTGCTGGAAACAATAATTGAAAGGCAAAATGGTGGACCTTTCTGAAGGTAATCTGAGTATGATTTTTGTTCAGTTTGGGATGAGGAACAAGAACAATGGGAGCCTAGAAACGGATGCGAAATTGTAGATACAAGGGTGAAAAGCAAGAACCATCATGGGGTAAAGAGACAAAACATGGTGAATTAGAACCAGCAACAAAATTAGAGATAGGGAATCGTAATCAAGGTTGTGGGGAGAGCATAAATAGCGAAGAAGCAAAAGAAACAAAGAACAGGTGATCATTTAGCAAACAAGGTGATTGAGAATAAGAGAAACCTTAGTATGAGTATGAAGGAGGAAGATGCTAGAGAAAGGAAAGGGTTTCAAGAAGTCCAACCAACCTACCACCACCACCCCTGGAACCACCAAACTCAGATTTGACCTGCAACATAGGTGGGTAATTAGCTGTGGAGGAGCTCGGGCTCTTGTGCAGATGGTCAAGCCACCACTGCTGGAACTGCCAGACTCAAACTTTTCTTTTGAGGAGAATGGGTCATCATTCTAGGACATGCCTGCATCAGAGGATGGTACCACTCTGAAATCTTGTTGAGAGAGAAAAACATATGCAAGAGATGTTGAAACCACATATCTTGACCACACAGTGAAGTCTGTTTTATATAGACTCGATGAAATAAATACAAATAAATATAGGAGATAACATTCCTATTTACATGTGATACGATAGCCCTATAATTACAATGATCCTAAATAAATAAGGAAACAAATCATAAAATCATAAAAAATAAATCCTCTAACAAATCATCTTGGATACTCTAAAATAGTCTAAAAATAGAAAAAAAAAAGTATTATCAGTTATTTTTCATATTTTCTAACAGTTACAATAAGTTAGGTACCCATTAGTTAGTTATATTAGTGAGTTAGATAGTCTAATTAAGGCATGTTGCCTATATATGAGGGGATGGGGAGAAACGAATCATTTTATCATTATGAGAGGAAATTATGGCCTTTTGGCAATGGGAGGTGCTGACCCTCAAAGTTCTGCAGTGTGTTCTATTCTGTAAATTGCAGAGTTCTTCCCTATTCTTTCTATTAAAGATATCAGATTTCTATCATTCATTGACAAAACCAGGTCTCAACACCCAATTCATTCACTAAATAAAAAAATTTTCCATACAAAAAGGATTGAATATACTCTTCGAGAGTTCCATGCTTGAAAGATTTTTGTAATCAGATGGAAGATAGATGGAGAAGGTGCTCTTAGCCTGATAATCTTTTTGATACACTTGAAATAAGCTATTAAGTTGTCAAATCAAAATTTATTCATTTGATTTCTTAAACTTATGAAAAAAGTAATTGTCAAGAATAATTTATTGACACTTTTAATGAGGGATGGTTATAATGTCTGCCATTTTCTGTATATGCCTGATCTGATCGGGCATTCTAGTAATGGAGTTGAACAACATAAAAACATTTCTGCCTAAACATTATAATGAATCTTTCTTTTTGGTGGCACATGTTTAGATTGCCCTTATTCTTTATCTTCTCTACCCTTTGGTTGCTTAGGGCGTCCTGAGGAATTTGCTTCTAGGAGAATAGTTATTGATCACATAGCTTGGGTACTAGAAGTTGCTGACTTGCATGATTTTTTCCATAATTTGTGTTTATGTGAATGTCGATTACCTGACTGGGAAGTCTTTAGCTAAATTTTTAAGATCTGATCGGTTAATTTTGTTATAATACTATAATAGTACATGGCAGGATTTGTGGTATAAGAGAAATTAAATGAATTATGGATGTATATAAGGCCTAAGTCCATATCAAAATCAAAAATTGTCACATAATTAAGAGAACAGTAGTCTCCTATTACTCATAGATACTAAAGGATCATAAGTCAACAACATTCACAAGGTACTAATTGGCATTTTATCATGTGTATGTTACATTTTGTGTCGTCCTTCACTTTATCATTGTACATTTATGGATGACTTTTTTATTTTATTTTTTATTTTGACTAAAATGGATGACTTGTGCATTGGTGGTTACCTTTCGTTTATATATTTTTACAATAAAAGTGCAACCTGACACTATGTTGACATCAAAATCATGCTGCAATTGTATAATATGAATGTGTGAGCCTATGTACATTGAGTTTACATTAGTTGAGATTAAACATATATCCACCAATTGTGACATAAGATCCACTTATAGGTGTTCATCACCATTGTAAACATAAAGTATTTTGGCCATCTATCAGGTCTGAGTTGGAAGTCATGATCCTTAATAATTTCAATTGAGTTGTCAAGATTTGAGAGGTAATAAACTAGCTTCTTTTTTTTTCCGCTTATTTCTTTAAACTTTGAACTAACTTGTTATTAAATTTCGTATTCAAGATTATCCTATACTACTAAATTGTTTTCTAAGCTTCCAAGTGGTTTGTTATAATAATGTTTATCTTGATAACTAGACCATTTTCTTGATATATATACCTGTTCTTATGATTGATAAGTATATACTTGCTGTAAATGAAGAAACAGTTCACACAGGTGAAAAGAGAAAATTATAATTCTGTAAACATCCTTGAGTATCATATATTTGTCTGTACTGCTATATACTTTACTAGCAATAAATTTACTCTTATCATCCTTCATGATGGTAAATGGGTAATATAATGAATATCATCAATTGGGACTGATATTTGTCAGTGTATATCAGAAAAGAGACATAAGTTAAGATTGAAATTACCTATGTGACAATGAGTTTGTTTCAATGGTTTACAAAAGAATAGGATAACCCTAATGCTTTAACTGGCAGCTGGAGGATGTTGAAAACTCATGTTGTCTACGGTCCTCAATCTTCCTATATATTTTATTAAGCTTAGATATCTTATGCATCCATATTATTGTAACCCTTTTCATGGAGTGATAAGGCGATCTGAGTGTTTGGATGGAGGGACATAGGGTTGGTGTGATAAGGAGGGTGTAGGTTCGAATCCTTCTACTAACATAACAATTAACATTTGTTGATTAAAAAAAATGTAATCCTCTCTAGAATATCCACATAAAGTCAACCTTAGTGCACTGACTTGTTTAAGGTAATCTAATTTAACATTTTTATGCCACTAGGGGTTGATCTATTTTGAAAGGACTAGCATTATTATTGTTATCATTAAATCATCAGTCTACTACGGTGGATATGAAACTGATATCAAAGCAACTATATGTGAGCAAATGGAAGGATTAGAAGTTTAGAAGTTAAGTATTTGTGTATATGACATTTATGCTTTAGGGATAACATGCCGATTATGTGGTTTGCTCTAGAAGAGAGGTGGTTTAATGATTTCTATTTTATCTGCCTAACACTCATTTAGGTTGAATTTTAAGTTCTTGGACTGGGTTTGCTCTAGAAGAGAGGTGGTTTGATGATTTCTTTTTTATCTGCCCAACACTCATTTAGGATTGAATTTTAAGTTCATGGACTTGGTCTGTATAAAATAGCTGTGTATCACTGCTTTGATGATTGTCTGCTATCCCTTGCTACTTCATATGCTTTCATGATTTTGCATCCATTGTCTGCAGGTATGTGAAGAAAAATTTATTAGATTATCCCTCTAATGGCTGTTTGATAGGTATGTAAATTTTAATTACATTAGAGTCCTGTAAATATATATTAATTATCTCATCATAATATTTTATCCATGTTTCACCTTCGTTACCTGAAGCCAGGTGGTGTAAAGTTGTAAAATCTAACTTGAAATTTCAAATGATTGTTATTGCCTTTTTCCTTTTCGTTTCTGGTCATTTGTCTTTTTTGTCTTTACAATTGGCCATTGGTGTTTTAGAAATAACAAATGATTCCCTGCTTTCTTTTCTCATGTACAATACAAAAATCTGGTCCTGTTAAATACTAAACATTGTAGCGAAAATTGTTTGATTGGCTGTATTGTATACCAATGTAAATTCTAGGAAGAAGGTATTTGAAGTTTTTTTTTTCCTTACTGTTTTAGCTTTTCTTCTTTAGTTGAATTAGAATCTCATCATTCTGTGATATTCTGCTGTCGTGGGTACCTGATATGGTTTATTACATTTGTAGTTACTGTTTTAAAGTATTGGAACTTAATCTCATCATCAAACGAAAAACATTCGAACCACGCGTTGCCACTAGCTAAACTCACATTATGCGATTGTTTTTGATGATGTTACTTGTATTTTCATTTAAAAATATCAGGTCAAAGCAATTTCAATTGATTTTATATATATAGTTTTATATGATATGGAAAGTGGAAAGAAAAAATAACCTATTATTTAAGCTTTTTAAATTGAAAATTGAAAATACACATTAATTATTTTATACTTGACTATTTGTCATTAAATTCACTTATTTGACAAAAATCAAATTCACTTTTAGAATGAGTTTGATCACAATCGAATACAATCAAAGTGTGTGTATAAGTTAGACTTATATATATATATATATATATAAGTTCTTTTCTTTACATCCTATAAAATTTTGGAATAATTATCTTTGATTTTCATAAATGCACAAATTTTAGTTTTGATATTTAATAATCATTTAAAGATAAATAATAATATTTGTTTTGTGATGGATAAATAATTTGTTTTAAAAACAAAATATTAAGATGTTGCATTGGTTTCATTTAGAATATTTGATTTTGATAAATACATGTAAATAAAAGTTGTACAATATTCAAGATTAAAAATACTAATTCTAAATTTTAGAGGATAAAAATATAAAAAGTTTGTGTAAATTTAAAATTAACATTTGGTCATTTTTTTTAGAGATTAAAATTATATTATAAGTATAAAATTATTATATCTCATTTTTAAAAGCATTATCAAATTTTTTTATGGTTTTTAAATATGAAAATAGTAATAAAAAAACATAATTTTTTAGTAGTATTTAACATAAAAGACCCATAAACTTATAATTTTTTCATCTTTTAGTTTTATGATACTAACTTGTAAATTAAGTCACATCGTGTTCAAATGATAATTTATACTATCAAAGATGTGTATCTCACATTATAATAAATTTAGTAAATTACAAATCATATTATAATAACTCTTATTTATCAATAAATTGTTGAAAAATAATCTCTATGTAATATGAATATTTGATGAATTTGTTGGTTGTTGAAAAATTTTATTAATTTCTCTTCTTTTTTTTTTCTTCTTTTATTTCTTTTTTCCAAAATTCACATTCCCCTATTTTTAAAGAAAAATCTCATAACTTGTTTTCTTCTTTCGATCGAGTTCGGGTGAAAAATGTTTAACCTATTGTAAACCGACTTTGAAAAAATATGACTCATATCCGATCAACTGAGCTTTCGGTTTGAGGCGGTTCAGGTTGAAACGGATTCGGATTTGAGCGGGTAGGTACAATTGGGTTTGAGGTTTTTTGTGGACCAAGTTATCTTAACGAAGGTGAAGCTTAAAACGGTAAAAAAATATTTTTAAAATAGTGTACAAAAATAGAATGAAAGTAACAATAAATGGTGTAAGTAGATTCGTAAATGAAACATTTACAAACTAAAGAAGCAAAACCAAAAGATAACAAAATTCATAGTTGTTACATGCAAAAGAAATCTAAATTTAGATTACAAAATTCATAAGAAATCATTGTCGCACAAGTTGTACTTAAAATAGAGATAGGAAGTTGGAAAAGAAAGATAAAGAAAGAGACAAAAAGAAAAATCTAAAAATGGACTAGTGTGTTGAGAAATTGAATGAGGAAGGAGAAGACAAAAGAAATATCTAGGTTATGAAAAAGAAAAAGAAAAGTTACAAATTGCTTACTATATTATACTTGAAATAAAGACTTTAGAGTTTGGATCATTATTGTTTAAATATGGGTACTCCAAAGGATCCACATGATATTGGATGTCTAAAATGAGTTTAGAGGTTAAGATTTAGGATTTACACATGTTTCAATACTCAGGCCTTCCATCTCTTTTGGTCTCGTAACATTGTTCCATCCCACAGCAAACCAAAATCTTGAGGAACCATCCTTGTTCCAAAATCTTGAGGATCCATCCTTGTTGAGAAGTCTCCCTTTCCACGAGGCCAGGTGACCATTGATACGTCCCACCATGTCATGAAAATCTACAAGTTTAACTTTTCCTTAGATCATAGGAACCCCGAGATACCTATCCAACTTGGGTCTATTGGTGACATCTAGTATGGCACTATCTCTTCCAAACGCTCCACCCTCGTAGATAACACCTTCTTGGAGACTATAATATTCTAAAGAATTTATCTTATTATACATATGTATATAAAGCAAACAAGTTTTGGCCTTAAAATTGTCTTCTAATTTCTTTTTAATCTCGACTTTTCATCCATGTTATGTCTGATGACTACAAATTAATCCTTTTCTAATTTTTGTCCCTTAAATGCTTTAATGGTAAAAAATAATACAATCATTATACAAACATATTTTTATTAAGTTTTTTTAGTTTTTTTACGGGCAAGTTAGTTATCATTGAGCCTATTAATATATATGAAATAATTGAGAAACAATATTGATAATGAATTTTTATTTTACACTAGCGCATGGCATGTTGATATACATTTTTTTTATACATTTGAAATGAAGATATTTTATGATTTTTTTAATGAAATTTATAAATCATCAAGAATTTTTGAACGTTATAACACTAATGTGTATTTTATGTTTAAAATATTTCATTAGTATTATACAAATTATAATCATCTCATATTAATACAACTTTTGAAAATAATTAATCATTTAATGTTTCATAAACTTTTAATACAACTTATTAGTTATCAAATATATCATTGCAATTTAAATGTTCGGTTACCAAAATTTATGATTATGTAATTATAATATAAATTTTCAATTACTAAAAATTATTATTATATAAGAGTTTGTCTCACCTTTCAACTTATTTTAACTTTGGATTTGATTTGATCAGAAGTGAAATACTCCAACTCATGTTTGTTTTGTCAACAGGTTAGTATTTTTTATTTATTCATTTTACTATTATTGTTATCTTCTATATTACCTTGGAATCAACTTTCTTTGCCCTTGATCTTCATCCTAAGAGGTGCAATGGTGAAGAAAAACTTGAAAATGGAGAGAAATGGAATGTTAAAGGTGTCACTTTAATGAAGAAGATAAACTTAAATGTTACTCGTCACAAGGAGAAGATCGTTGATGAGAGTTCTAATGGAATCACACTCTAATGAGATGAATTCAAAGACTCTTGAAAGAGAGAGAAATATGATCACAATGTATTAATATCTCAAAAAATGATTACAATGTGAGTGAAAAAGTCATATATAAGCTAGTTAGCTTGTGATGTAAGCTAACCAAACCATGGTCAAGTCTAGATACATTAGACATGAGGGAGGTGTATGCATGATAAGTGTGACTAGGGGTGTAGGAAGTGGAAAAGGAGGGGGCTGAACTAAAAGTCACATAGGAGGTGTGACTAAGCATGAGAAATGTAACTAAGGAGTGAATGTTGCACAAAAGAAGGTGTAATGAGCACCAAATAGACGTCTTCTTCCTTGGGCTCATCTAAGTATGTCCACTAGTTGCATTTTCCATTTACAAAATACACTCTTAAGATTACCAAATAAACCCCCAATAAAAAAGTACAAAAATAACACTACTCTAGTGACCCATAATACAAGAGAAATGGACTAATCCTCAATATTCTTAAAGCTAAACATGAGTTTAGGTCTTCTATCTTCACTTCTAACTCAATCCTCATAAATCCTCTTGAACATGACCCTTGTGATATTTGGAAGGTATTTTGTCATCCCATCCTACTTTGAGAGGATTTGTCTTCAAATCTGAAGCCTCCTCTTGATCCTCCTTAATACTTGCAAAAAGAATCAAATCACAAACATTAAAGGTGTTTCTTACTCCATAATCATAAGGGAGATTAAACTTATATGTATTATTGTTTATCCTCTCTAGGACTTGAAAGGGACCATTTCCTCTAGGGTTAAGTTTAAGCTTCCTTTTAGAAGGAAAACTATCCTCCTAAGGTGAAGCCAAATTGAATCCCTTTTTTTTTTCCAAAGATAATCTATTTCTTCCTTTTATTTTTATATTTAACATACCCTTCTATTTGGTTTGTAACCTTCAAATGTAACTTTTCAACAAAACCTACCCTAGATACTCTACCTTTAGGTAAGAAAGAAATAACATCTAGAAAAGGGCATTAAATCCATAAGTGTGAGAGGATTAAAATCATAGACCATTTCAAAAGGGGATTGATTGGTGGTTTTGTGTACCACATAATTATATGCAAACTCAATATAAGGAAGATATCCATCACAAGACTTTTCCCTTTAGAAATGCCCTCAATAGAGTTGATAAAGATCTATTCACTACTTCTATTTGTCAAATAGTTTGAAGGTGATAAGTAGTAAAGAACACAAGCTTAATTCCTAGTCTCCCCCATATAAATCTCTTAAAATGACTAAGGAACTTAACCTCTCTATCAAAAACTATGATTTTGGGTACACCATGCAATCTTAAACCTCTTTGAAAAAAAAAGTTCAGTGATGTTGTTAGCATCATCCATTTTGTGACAAGGAATGAAATGAGACATTTTACTAAAATAGTCCACGACCAAAAAGATGGATTCCATGCCCTTTTGGGTTCTAAGAAGACCAAGAAAAAGTTCATATTAATGTCAACCCAAGGTACATATGAAACACATAAAAACATGTATAGTTCATGAGAAATTATTTTATACTTAGCTTGTAGACAAACTATGCATCTAGAATAGTGCTTCTAAACATCTTTTCTCATATAAGGCCAAAAGAATTTTTCTTTAAGAAAAGACAAAGTTTTAATAATTCCAAAATGTCCCATGAGCTCACTTTCATGGCTCTCTTACTTATGTTTTTATCAATTATCCTTATGTTTTTTCAAATCTTAATTATAAGCATACAAAAGTAAATTGTTTTTTAAAACTCCTCTTTTTCCCTTG